TGAACATACTTCTGGAATGAAATAATATCGTAAACCGGGGGTCCACTGTACAAACAAGTTAGTACAAATAATCTTCTGTTTTTTTATTTTATTGTTTTGATTATCTAACACTATGTGCAAGGAAATCTTATGATATTACAATTCCCATTCTATTCCTCCTGTAGCTCAATCGCTAGTGTACTCAGCTCACACACTGAGGTCCGGGGTTCGAATCTCCTCCGGTACCCCTGGAAAACATTAGGGACGTGTTTCCATAAGACACCTGCTGTACACCTGGGTACCTTGGGTGTTAGTCGACTGGTGTGGGTCGTATCCTGGGACAAAACTGACCTAATTTGCCCGAAATGCTCAGTGTAACAAGGGGCTTTCTATATAGTAGTATATCATTGATATCATCTAGGCCTGTATACCTTGTGCATGTACAGTGGAACCTGTGCATGTACAGTGGAACCTCAAATTTCGAACTTAATCCGTTCCAGGAGCTAGTTCTAAATTCGAAAAGTCTGAAATTCGAAGCAATATTTCCCATAAGAAATAATGGAAATACAATTAATCCATTCCAGAAACCCAAAAATATTCACAAAAAAAATACATTTTATAGAGATTAATTACAGTTTTACATACACACAACAAATGCTATAGCCTTTAATTATGTATAGTAATATAAAATAACATTTTTACTTACCTTTATTGAACATAGGTGATGGCATCTGGAAGATAGGGAGGAGAAGAGAGGGAGTTGGGGTTATTGTTTGGAAGGAAAATCCCCCTCCATGAAGACTTCCGGTATCAAAGCCCTCTCTTGGGTTGCTTCCATTCTCTGTATTTTAATGCCACTAGGACCAGCTTGAGAGTCACTGGACCCCAGTCTCACAAAATAACTGTCTACAGTCCTCTGTTTCTGTCTCACAAAATAATTCCACAGTCGTCTGTTTCTGTCTCACAAAATAATTCCACAGTCGTCTGTTTCTGTCTTAAAATAACTGTCCACAATCGCCTGTTTGTCTCACAAAATAACTCCACAGTCGTCTGTTTCTGTCTCACAAAATAACTGTCCACAGTCCTCTGTACATCCTGGCAAGCTCAACAAGTCTCACTCCAATCTCATAATTCTGTATTATTTCCTTCTTCACATCTATGGTGTTTCTCACTTTCTTTACCATAGGGGTACCACTAGCAAGTTTCTTTGGGCCCATGGCAGCTTATTTCACAGCCCCACAAGCACTAAACACAATTAAATAATGGTAAAATGTGTGAATGAGATCGCAGGTTAGTGTTCACTTAAGCATAAACAAAGCTAGACTGCTCAGGGCGCCTGTGCGGGGATGAGGACAGAGCGGGCCAGTGGACAGGTCCTGTACCCGGCGGTCCGAAAATAGGGGCGCGTTCGATAATAGGGACACAGTTTGTCCGAAAAAATGGTCTTATTTTCGAAACGTTCGATATGTGATACGTTTGATTTTTGAGGTTCCACTGTACTTGTAGTAAATAAAGATATTATTATTATCTTGCCTCACTCACCACTATTGTTAATGAAGAGATAGTAAAAATATCAACCTGGATGACTGCCAATAAACTTACACTTAACCCTTTGAGCGTCGACAGGCCCTCTCCGAGACTTGTTCTCAGGGGCGCCCAAATTTAAAAAAAAAAAATATTTTTTCTTACGAAAAGATAGAGAATCTTTTCCCGATCATAATGACACCAAAAGTATGAAATTTTATGGAAAACTTACGGAATTATGCTCTCACGAAGTTAGTGGTCTTGACAATGTTTACGCATCGGCGATTTTGCCCACTTTGAGCTCTATTTTTGGCTAATTCCAATGTACTAGTCAACAAAAATCATAACTATTTCGCTAGAACTCTATTTTTTGTATCGAATGAGTACAAGAAACCACCCATTTACCAATTTCAACTATCCAATAAAGTGGTCAGAATTTAGCAATTTTGCCAATTTCACACAAATTTCAAAAGATGCCAATTTCCGAATAGGGTCCAGAATAAACAAGACATTCTTGGCACTAAAATAACAAGTTCTCTGTTTGGTAGTCACATCCCCAGGCCCCTCTTATATTTCTTTGGCTTTCCACTTTCAATTTTTATTCTTACAAAAAATAAAGATTTACTGTTATGCAGACTACTGCATTAGTGTAGAAATGGTATAAATAATATCAGCGCACTTGTGAAAGAATATTAGACTCACCAGTTGGCATGATTTGTTTACTTTTGAACTTTGGTAAAAATCGAACATTTCTGCTATTTTGAGCTCAATTTCAAGGTACTTTTCATTGTAAAACCAGTCAAAATCATCTCAATTTCTGTAATATGTCTTCCATTCTATAAAATGAGACCAAGAAAACTAGAATACAACAATAAATACCATACAAAAATATAGTGAAAAGTCGCTGTTTTATTCCAAAAACACAGTCAGTTTTTTTTTCCTCATTTTGCACTGTGTGCTACAGGATTTTTTTTATACTGCGCACACTGACCACATAGACCCATTCTTTCATATGTAGGCCTACCAGCTTTCTCCCACTAGATTTAAGGGCGCTAGAATTTAGGCATACTAGTACGTCAAAAACCCTGGGTCGTAAGCTGTACTAGTACGGTCGAAACCCCCAAAGGGTTAATATTGACAAAAACTTCTACATTGTTTGGGAGCATAACAGGTGATGCCCAGCTGAACATTATGATTGACAACACTCTTATTGCTAAACATAATGAGGGCAAATTCCTGGGTCTGCACCTTGACAGCAACCTGAAATTCAACACCCATATCTGACACATAAAAATAGTATCCAACACAGTTGGGATCCTCTCAAAGATAAGTTAGTATGTACCACAATCAGCCCTACTCTCACTGTACTATTCATTCAACCATCCCTACCTCACCTATGCTATTTGTGCATGGGATCAACAGCAGCAACTCGCCTAAAGCCAATAATAACCCAACAAAGAGCTGCAGTAAGAATTATCACGCAGTCCAATGCTAGACAACCCCCCTCCCCACTCTTCAAAGACCTCAACTTACTGTACAAAACATTCACACCTACTACTGTGCTTCCTACATTTACAGAACCATAAATTCTAATACTAACCCTGAACTAAAACACTTTTTTGATTGTTGCAACATGACCCATAGACACAATACCAGACACAAAAATCTCTGACATTCCTCGTTTCTGGCTAAATTTCTACAAAAACTCAATGTACATAAAAGGGCCTAAAATCTTGAACTCCCTGCCCAAAAACTCTAGAACTGCAGACTCGACCACCATTTTCAGAGCTACCATTAAAAAAATCTTACCTCCCTAACACACCTCATCATCAGCTAACTATGTGAAAACCACCTATTCTCTCTTTTGTATCTTGAACACATCGAAAACAATATAGACTTACTCTCGTTATCTGTAATTCCCCTTAATTTACACTTACGCTCGTCCAAATGACTGTAAACATAAAATTCCTAATATAGCTATTGCCTAATAAATCTTAAGTTAGTCCTAAGTTTGCCTGAAATACTCTCCTAACATAGGAGCATTTATAGAAACAGTGTATCATGCCATATAAAAACCATTTCCATTACTAAATTTACTATAATTGTAATATTGTTATATGTTTTGTACTACCTAACTATTATCAATCTAATGTAAATCACTTCATATACCTAACTTTATATCAGAATGCAGTAATTTATTTTAAAGTGTACTGCTGCATAACCTGTGTCAATATAGAGTAAGAATTAGGATTAGCCTGCCTAAAATAATTTGGCATGCTAGTGGCCTTCTTTGTAATTATATTTTGTAATATGTAAGCTTTGCAAGAAAATAATCGTTTTCATTTTTATCTTTGGATCATATGATGTCAGAAGAACAGCATATCCAACTTCAACAGGGATTGAGAGCGAATAGTATGCTGCAACAACTTGCCACCAACTTACTGTCCATGCCAGCACAAGCCCCCACTATGGTAGGGTTGTCCCATAAGGTGGGGAGGTAGCCTGTGGAAAATAGACCTGGAGTTTACCTGGAGAGAGTTCCGGGGGTCAACGCCCCCGCGGCCCGGTCTGTGACCAGGCCTCCTGGTGGATCAGAGCCTGATCAACCAGGCTGTTGCTGCTGGCTGCACACAAACCAACGTACGAGCCACAGCCCGGCTGATCAGGAACTAACTTTAGGTGCTTCTCCAGTGCCAGCTTGAAGACTGCCAGGGGTCTGTTGGTAATCCCCCTTATGTGTGCTGGGAGGCAGTTGAACAGTCTCGGGCCCCTGACACTTATTGTATGGTCTCTTAATGTGCTAGTGACACCCCTGCTTTTCATTGGGGGGATGGTGCATCGTCTGCCAAGTCGTTTGCTTTCGTAGTGAGTGATTTTCGTGTGCAAGTTCGGTACTAGTCCCTCTAGGATTTTCCAGGTGTATATAATCATGTATCTCTCCCTCCTGCGTTCCAGGGAATACAGGTTTAGGAACCTCAAGCGCTCCCAGTAATTGAGGTGTTTTATCTCCGTTATGCGCGCTGTGAAAGTTCTCTGTACATTTTCTAGGTCGGCAATTTCACCTGCTTTGAAAGGTGCTGTTAGTGTGCAGCAATATTCCAGCCTAGATAGAACAAGTGACCTGAGGAGTGTCATCATGGGCTTGGCCTCCCTAGTTTTGAAGGTTCTCATTATCCATCCTGTCATTTTTCTAGCAGATGCGATTGATACAATGTTATGGTCCTTGAAGGTGAGATCCTCCGACATGATCACTCCCAGGTCTTTGACGTTGGTGTTTCGCTCTATTTTGTGGCCAGAATTTGTTTTGTACTCTGATGAAGATTTAATTTCCTCATGTTTACCATATCTGAGTAATTGAAATTTCTCATCGTTGAACTTCATATTCCCACCTGGGAAGATGGGAAGTTGTAAAAATATTCAGGAGGAGCCCATGGGATAGATATATATTTAAGGGAGACCTTTATTTGTTTTTACCCATTTGTTTTCTAATATTCCAGATACGTGTACCCACCTCCATCACTGGTCCAGCAAATATAGAAGTGCAGTGGTACTCAGTCAGTGAGCCTGGATTTCTAGATGCTGATATCTCACAGTTGCCGTCTGGGAAAATTACCAAGTTAATAGTGAGTGAGAATAATAAATTCCTAAATCATAAGGCTTACAGAATAAATGGAAAGCAATATAGAGTAAGAATTAGTATTAGTCTGCCCAATATACATAGACAGTAATGCCTAGGCATGCTAGTGGCCTTCTTTGTAACTAATATTTTGTATGTAAACCACAAATTGTAATTAATATTGTGTATGTAAACCTCACACTGTAATCTTTACAGAGAAATAAACATTTCAATTTCAGTTCTTTTGTGTTTGATATCTTCATATATTTTATGTAGCTGTAGCTTGCTTTTTAAGTATTATTTTTAAATTATGAGATAGTGAGACATAGTGAGAGTGAGAGAGAGTGAGAGTGAGAGTGTGTGTGAGAATGTGTGTGAGAGAGAGTGAGAGAAAGTGAGAATTGAGAAAGTTGAGAGAGAGAGAGAGAGAGAGTTGAGAGAAATAGTTGAGAGAGAGAGAAATAGTTGAGAGAGAGAGAGAGAGAGTTGAGAGAGAGAGAGTTGAGAGAGAGAGAGTTGAGAGAGAGAGAGTTGAGAGAGAGAGAGTTGAGAGAGAGAGAGTTGAGAGAGAGAGAGTTGAGAGAGAGAGAGTTGAGAGAGAGAGAGTTGAGAGAGAGAGAGAGAGTTGAGAGAGTTGAGAGAGAGAGAGTTGAGAGAGAGTTGAGAGAGAGAGAGTTGAGAGAGAGAGAGTTGAGAGAAGTTGAGAGAGAGAGAGTTGAGAGAGAGAGAGTTGAAGAGAGAGAGAGTTGAGAGAGAGAGAGAGTTGAGAGAGAGAGAGAGTTGAGAGAGAGAGAGAGAGAGTTGAGAGAGAGAGAGAGAGTTGAGAGAGAGAGAGAGAGTTAGAGAGAGAGAGAGAGAGTTGAGAGAGAGAGAGAGTTGAGAGAGAGAGAGAGTTGAGAGAGAGAGAGAGTTGAGAGAGAGAGAGAGTTGAGAGAGAAGAGAGAGTTGAAGAGGAGAGAGAGAGTTGAGAGAGAGAGAGATGTGAAGGAGAGAGAGAGAGTTGAGAGAGAGAGAGAGTTGAGAGAGAGAGAGAGTTAGAGAGAGAGAGTTGAGAGAGAGAGTTGAGAGAGAGAGATGAGAGAGAGAGTTGAGAGAGAGAGAGTTGAGAGAGAGATGAGATGTTGAAAGGAGTTAGGAGAGAGTTGAGAGAGAGTGAGAGAGAGAGAGAGAGAGAGAGAGAGAGTGTTGAGAGAGAGACCCCAGACCTAACCTTGTCAAACCCTGTGTAAAAAACAAAAGAGAGAGATAGATAAAGAGGTTGATTGGTTGATTAATTTCAAAATACTTAAAATGTTTTATATGGACAGGAAGAATCCAAGGAGCGAGACTATGACTTGGTAATTCCCAAGCCTACGGATAATAATTTCTTGGGACTGGTTGGTGATGCTTTTTACAAGTTCCGCATCCAGGTGAAGACACCACTGGGGTATTCGTGCTTCAGTGACCTGCAGTTTAAAACCAACTCGCCTCCTCACCGAGGCAATTTCAAGGTACATCATTCGTTATTGAGTAAATAATTACTAACCTCATTTTAGCATTAATTCCTTGAAATTTCCGAGCTTTATTTAATGATTTAATTTGCAAGGTTCTAGTTTACTTTAAACTTTGATTTATCTTCTGAATTCATCCTTTTTTTATTATTTTAAATTTATTTGAGGCTGTATTGCTTTAAATTATTGTTATATTATATCCATGTTAAGTACTAAACCATTAGGATTTAGTAAATATGTTAAGAGTTCATTTAAACATTTCAATTCTAGAAAATATTGTATCATAAAATTACCAATAATTTTGTTGCCTAATATAGTTTAATTTTTTTCTGCCTCTTAATACTGTATTTTCAGTCAAAATTTTGTAATTTTGGTAGGATCTGTGCTGAAATAAGTTTTGGAATGGATCTCATATGATTCATCACTACTGACGGTAACTAAATTCTACATGCTGTGCTTCAAATTTCATGCCATAAATTACAAGGTGTAACTCCCCCTGTCATTATTGAAAGCTGATGATATTTCTATTGAATGTTGAGATACAGTAATGCTGTTAACAAATATATGGCAAATTTTTTCAAAAAATAAAAATTTGATATGAATCGATTCATATTCTATCAATAGTTGTCACAATAAGACAAGTATATAAGCAACTTCCTAGTAGTAGGTTGATTTTCAGCAACCGCCCAGGGAGGTACTACCGTCGTGCTAAGTGAGTGTAAAATGAAAGCCTGTAATTGTTTTACATGATGGTGGCCTGGTGGTTAACGCTCTCGCTTCACACGGCGAGGGCCTGGGTTTGATTCCCAGCCAGAGTAGAAACATTGGGCGTGTTTCTTTCCACCTGTTGTCTATGTTCCCCATCAGTAAAATGGGTACCTGGGTGTTAGTCGACTGGTGTGGGTCGCATCCTGGGACACTGACCTATACCCCCGGCCGGGATTGAACCCGCGGTCATAGAGTCTCAAAACTCCAGCCCGTCGCGTTAGCCACTAGACCAGCTAGCCACAATAAGATTCATCCAACTAGGTATATTTCTACACCATAGGAAAGTTAGCACAGGCTGTAGAAATATACCTAGTTGGATGAATCTTATTGTGGCTAGCTGGTCTAGTGGCTAACGCGACGGGCTGGAGTTTTGAGACACTGACCTAATTTGCCCGAGATGCTCAGCATAACATGTGGCTTTCTGTGTAGTAGTATGTCAGTGTTGTCAGCTAGGACTGTATACCATGTACATGTACAGTGGACCCCCGGTTAACGATTTTAATCCGTGCAAGAGGGATAATTGTTATGCGAAATAATCGTTATGCGAATGAATTTTCCCCATAAGAAATAATGGAAATAAAATTAATCCGTGCAAGACGCCCAAAAGTATGAAAAAAATTTTTTTTTACCACATGAAATGTTAATTTTAATACACACAAACTGAAAAAGGCATGCACAATTACATGACACTTACTTTTATTGAAGATCTGGTGATGATTGATGGGATGGGAGGAGGGGAGAGCATTATCTTCTTACTGTTTAGAAGGGGAATCCCCTTCCATTAGGACTTGAGGTAGTAAGTCCTTTTCTGGGGTTACTTCCCTTCTTTTTTTAATGCCACTAGGGCCAGCTTCAGAGTCACTGGACTTCTTTCGCACAAGATATCTGTCCATAGTGGCCTGTACCTCTCGTTCCTTTATGACTTGCCTAACGTGTTTCACAACATTGTCAGTGTAATAATCACCAGCACGGCTTGCAATAGCTGTGTGAGGGTGATTTTCATCCATGAAGGTTTGCACTTCAAGCCCACTTTGCACAGATTTCCTTTATCTTTGTAGTAGGCAACTTCTTCAATTTCTCTCTCCCCTCCTCTGAACCAGTTTCCCCAGGTCTGGCCTCTTGCTCTTGAAGTTGATCTATCAGCTCATCAGTGGTTAGTTCTTCATTGTCCTCCTCCACCAACTCTTCCACATCCTCCCACTAACCTCCAACCCAAGGACTTTCCCAATGCCACAATGGATTCCTCAACTGGCACAGGATTCTCAGGGTTAGCCTCAAACCCTTCAAAATCCCTTTTGTCTACACATTTGGCCACAGTTTCTTCCAAGCAGAGTTCAAGGTCCTCTTAGTCACTTCTCCCAAGCCTTACCTATAAGGTTTACACAATTGAGGATATTATAAGTGATCTCTCCAAAACTCTCTTAGAGTCAGTTGAGTTTCTGAGGTCATTACAAAGCACCTTTCAAACAGAGCTTTTGTGTACAGTTTCTTGAAGTTGGAAATAACCTGCTGGTCCATGGGCTGCAGGAGAGGCGTGGTATTAGGAGGCAAAAACTTCACCTTAATGAAGCTCATGTCCCCATAAAGTCGCTCTGCCACGTCTGTAGGATGACCAGGGGCATTGTCTAACACCAGGAGGCACTTAAGGTCTAATTTCTTTTCAGTTAGGTAATTTTTCACATTGGGGGCAAATGCATGGTGTAACCAGTTATAAAAAAATTCCCTAGTGACCCATGCCTTACTGTTTGCCCTCCACAGCACACACAAATTATCCTTGAGGACATTCTTTTGCCTGAACGCTCTGGGAGTTTCAGAGTGATACACTAATAAAGGCTTAACTTTGCAATCACCACTAGCATTGGCACACATCAACAAAGTAAGCCTGTCTTTCATAGGCTTATGTCCTGGGAGTGCCTTTTCCTCCTGAGTAATGTAGGTCCTGCTTGGCATTTTCTTCCAGAACAGGCCTGTTTCATCACAATTAAACACTTGTTCAGGTTTCAGTCCTTGAGTTTCTATGTACTCCTTGAATTCCTGCACATATTTTTCAGCCGCTTTGTGGTCCGAACTGGCAGCCTCACCATGCCTTATCACACTATGGATGCCACTACGCTTCTTAAATCTCTCAAACCAACCTTTGCTGGCCTTAAATTCACTCACATCATCACTAGTTGCAGGCATTTTTTAATTAAATCCTCATGCAACTTCCTAGCCTTTTCACATATGATCGCTTGAGAGATGCTATCTCCTGCTAGCTGTTTTTCATTTATCCACACCAATAAGAGTCTCTCAACATCTTCCATCACTTGCGATCTTTGTTTCGAAAACACAGTTGAACCTTTGGCAAGAACAGCTTCCTTGATTGTCTTTTGGTGCCCACAATAGTAGCGATGGTTGATTGGGGTTTCTTGTACAGCTTGACTAGGTCGGCTATACGCACTCACTTTCATACTTATCATTATCTCTTTCTTCATTTCTATAGTAATTCTTACCCTTTGAGGTGTAGGGTTGGCACTAGAAGCTTTCTTGGGGCCCATGGTCACTTATTTTCCAGAAACAGCACCGAAAATACTGTAATAATACGAAATATTCCGAGTGTATGCTTGGATGTTACCGCGGAGGCTGGCTGGTAAACAATGGGACGGGCGGCACATGTGAGGCTGGCTGAGGGCACATTGGACGCGTCTCGGACGAAAATCGGTGAGCGGGTTTTTAATCGGTATGCGCGGCAAAAATTTTGCGATAAAAGTAATCGGTATGCGGAAAAATCGCTATGTGATGCCATCGTTATGCGGGGGTCCACTGTACTTGTAAATAAAGATTATTATTATTATTATTATTATTATTATTATTGTATTTTTTTCTGTTTCATAAACATGCAAGATTTCACGTACGTCTTGCTACTTCTGCTTACACTTAGGTCACACTACACATTCATGTACAAGCATATATATATACACACCCTTCTGGGTTTTCTTCTGTTTTCTTACTAGTTCTTGTTCTTCTCTATTTCCTCTTATCTCCTTGGGGAAGTGGAACAGAATTCTTGCTCCGTAAGCCATGCGTGTCGTAAGAGGCGACTAAAATGCTGGGAGCAAGAGGCTAGTAATCCCCTTTTCCTGTATACATTACTAAACATGATGAGAAACTTTTGTTTTTCTTTTTGGGCCACCCTGCCTTGGTGGGATGTTGAAAGAAGATAAGCAACTTGTACCAAACTCGCTTTTGAAAAAAAAAAATTTCATGTGTGAGAGTTAGACTTTATAAAAATATGCTTTAAGGAAATATCACATTTTTATACAAAAAGTTCCATACTTTCCATACTTCAGCCTGCAAAAAAAAAAGTGCCAGAATTTATACTTAATAAATATTAATAAATTTGCGTTTATTCTCATTTTGATAAAGATTTTCATGCAGATATAGTTTTGTGGAGATATGCCACTTGGTTTGAAAAAAAAAAACATGCCTCTTATTCACTTTAATGAGCATAAACTCCACTCTGGCACATACATACTCACTCACTCACCCATTTGACTATAAGCACAGAAATACCTATCTTAATCTTAAAATAATGATTCCTAACTAGTCACAAGTTTGCCTGTGATACTCCAATATAGAAACTTTGTATTGTGCCAAAACAAAAGCATTCACATTGCTAAACTCACAAACTAGTATTTAGTCAACTTACTCCACAATTTGTAATAATTTAGGGTTAAGAATTAATCTAAGTTTGCCCGAAAGGCTTAGCCATGCTGGGTGTTCTAGTGGCCCCCCTCTGTAATTACTATTTTATTACATGTAAACCACACAATAACCAAAATCTGTAAACCCCGCATTGTAATCCTTATAGAGAATAAACTTTGATTTGATTTGATTTGATTTGATTACAGTATTAATTTTTTCATGTGCTAAGGTTTATGCTCATTTTTAACACTTTCAGGGTCATGACCCCTGCTCTCAAACTTGTTCTCAGGGTTGCAAAATTTTATTTTTTCTTATGAAATAGTAGGGAATCTTTTGCTAAAGGTAATGAAGCCAAAAGTATGAAATTTGATAGAAAACTTATGGAATTACACTCTCACAAAGTTAGCGATCTCAGCAAAATTGATGCCTAGGCAATTTTGCCCACTTTCTGCCCTATTTTTGGCCAATTCCATTGTTCCAGTCGACCATATTCATAGCTATATCACTAGTATTCCTTCTATTCTATTGACTGAGTACAAGAAACTGCC